ATAACAAATAAACATGAAGTCCAAATCAAAAAGAAATGAAAATTCATTAATAGCTAAAACGGAACCTTACAAATATACAGGGACTTAAAATGCTATTATCCCTTTAGCAAAAAACACGCAGATCCTTCCCCCATTGAAACGGCGTCGTTCAGGGCATGATATATATGCCCGATAATAGGCCAAAATTCGGCCTTAACCTTCATTTGCCCTCTTTGTTTTAACCGAATGAGAGAGAGAATCTCAACTCTCTCATCTTCTCTCTTCAGTTCCTCCCATGTGGGAAATTTAAAACATCACGGCCGCCGTACATTGGCGGCAACAACGAGGAAACTGAACCATCAATGGCCCTTCCCACTCCCCTCTCCATTTGACTATAACTTAGCCTCTTAACCGAGGATTAACCACTCGACTCTGGCGAGGGCTCAGGAAGGTAAAACCTCAACCCTCTTTCTTTTATTTTCTGCTAGAAATCCCCTATCTCTCTTTTGTTTTTTTTTCATTCCAATCCCTTTTGGGGTTTCCTCTTTAGTTTATATCTCGGTTTTTTTCTTCTTTTTGGATTATTTCCTTGTTCGAATACCCTCCTCCTTTTCCTCTGATTTTTTCTCTTTGCTTTATGGTGAGATTAAGATGGGATTAGGTATGATTTCATCCCGGATTTTTTGAGATTAGGTGGAATTATATTTTCTTTGACTTTGGCTTGTGGTTGGGTGCAGATTTGTCATCAGATATGGCTTGGCGAAGATGGAACTCAGCTTGTACGGCGACTCATGTGTCAGTGAAGGCTCTCATGCGCGGGGAGAGGGAGATTCGGTGGCGGCTGAGCTGTTGATGTTTATTTTAGGGTTTAAAAACCCTAATTATACTAGGTCGGGTCGCTAGGCTGGTTCGGATCCCCTTTGGGTCGGGTTTGAAGTATGTCGGTATGGGCTCCATCTTGCACTGGATTGATATTATATTGGACTGACTTGGTCTTTAGCGCCTGCAAAATGTTGTAAAATATAAATTAATAATAATAATAATAATTAATAATAAATATAATAATATAATTAATAATCTTTTTGGCGCGCACAAAACTGGTGTCTACAATCTTATGTATTATCTATATCTGTGTTGGTGAATGGTTCCCTAACTAATAAGTTCAACATTAAGAAAAGACTTCGTCAAGGATGTCCATTGCCCCCTCTCCTTTTTAATCTCGTAGGTGAAGCGTTAAGTGGTATGATTAGTAAAGCAGTTGATTTAAGTCTGATTGGTGAGTCTTGGTGGGTTCAAGTGGGATGCACATATCCCGTATTCAATTCGCTGACGACATAATAATGTTCCTGGATGATAATCTGGATTGTATCGGAAACGCGAATAGGGTTTTAAAATTTTTTGAGGTAGCTTCTGGCCTGAGGCTAAATATGAGCAAATCGATCCTTTATGGTGTGAACTTATTTGAAAGCTGGGCGAACTACATCAAATACGATTGGGGTAATCTCCCAACAACGTATCTTGGCCTTCTGTTTGGTCAAACAAGAAATTCGGTCACCTTGTGGAAACCCACTGTAGAAAAGTTCAAAGTAAGGTTGAACGGCTGGAAATGCAAGCTATTTTCTTTTGATGGTTGCCTCACCTTGATAAGATCTATTATTGTGAATATGCCAGTTTACTTTCTGTCGTTATTTCAGATGTCTGTTAATGTTGTTAATACCCTCATAAAATCATTGTAAACTTCCTGTGGGGTACGAAGTTCGATAGGGCTATTCACTGGGTAAAATGGGACAATGTAAACAAACTAAGGGCTTATGTAGGTTTGGTTTTTTATGATCTGCGAGTTAAGAATCATTTATTATTAAATAAATGGTTATGGAGGTTTGGTTGTGAACCCTAATCCTTATGGAGGATAATTATTAAAGCTAAATATGGGTTCGATCATGATTCTTTACTCTCGTCTCCAACTCAGCCTACTAATTCTTCGCGGATATGGATGAATATCTCAACCCCTTTGCATAGAAATGATGACATCTTCAGTAAACATTTCCGGTGTTGTGGGGATGGTAGGAATATTGATTTTTGGAACGATCATTGGACGGAAGTATAATCACTAAAGCAGTTTTTTTTTTTTGGAGAATGTTGGGGTTGCTATGGAGAAGATGGGTATGATTTCAGAGTTCGGTCGAAAGATCAACAGTGTGTGGGTTTGGAACATTGAAGTAAGAAAATAGTTATTCCAGTGGGAGATTAGCATTTGGGGAGCAGTTTATGAATACAATAAACATGGTAGTGTTGGGTTGTGGATAGAGCGATAGTTTGAGATGGTTTGGTTCTCCTAGCTGCTCCTACTTGTCTAGCAGCTATTGTGAGAATTTGCTAAGGGAAGGGACTGAAAAAAATAAGGTGTGTGTCTAATTTGGTCGAATCTAGCCCCTGAAAGGTCCAGACGTTTGTCTAGAGAGTTGTTCGCCAAAGAATTTCAACATTTGTGGGGCTTGCTAAAAGGAGACTAGAGAGCATTGAATCTCGTATCCGCGTTCTTTGTCAAGAAGAGGGGGAGATGGTAAATCATTTGTTTTGTCACTGTAGGTTTGTTTGGAAGATTTGGCTAAGGTGGTTTTCGATTTCGAATCTGAATTTTGTATATCTGGAGATTGTTAGATCGTTTCTTTTATCTTGGGATGCTCAACCTTTAGATCCTGAATACAAAAAGGCCTGGAATATAGCTTTCTTTGGGTACCTTTGAACGGCATGGTTGTGTAGGAACAAGGCTTTATTTAATCGTACATATGGAACGAAGACAAAACCTTTGATTTGACAGTCTTGAGGACAGGGTGTTGTGCTTATGGTTATTATATTACCTTGTTTCTGTTGAGTACTGCTGGAAGCGCTGATACAGTTGGCAGTTGTTTGAGGGTGTTTATGTTTGGATTCTTGTTGGTGGTGGTAGTGTTTGAGTTTTGTATACAAGGTTGTCTTGTGCCTTGGTGATTCGCTGCTGCTGGTGGCTTTCTTTAACATAAAGGTAGGTGTGTTGAAGTGCAAAAGGGGTGTTCTATTTTTCATGGGTGTTGCGCTCGTGCCATATACTCGGGATGGATGGTTAATGGATCGAAGATTAACAAGGTTGACCCCTCTTTGTTTTCAGGGAAGCAAAGAGATCCTGCTAGGCGAGTGTGTTGAGTACTATCTTATAGTATGAATTTTGGGTGTAAGGGATTTTGGGTGCTTTCACAGACCTTGTTTCTCTCTCTGTTGGGTGTAGTGGTGTGTTTAGTGAGATTGTGGCCGAGAAATCTGTTGTAAAAGTTCAGTCTTGTTATCACATCGCACGCTTAAGTTAGGCTAATGAGGTTCTTATCAATGTTCATGTTTTGTATGTGTTACTCTTTAATAATGCAAAACCCCCTTTAAAGAAGTACAAATTTTAAAAAAAAATTAAATAAAAATTTATATAATAAGGTGTATTATTATAATTGAGGATTGGGAAGGGCAGATTAGGGGAAAGGTCGTTGAGTTAAAACTTACTTGTAAAATTTATAATTAAAATTAACCCAAAAAATTTCTATAACGTTGATATTGATTGGGCAAATTTACATGCCACCGTGGGCATTACTAAGTGGTAAAAGTATTGAGCAAATCCTAAGCATTTTTTTAATAGGTAGAAAACAAAACTGTTATTTCATGATGTGAATTTCATTATACGATGTGGTATTAGTTTAAAATATATCGCACGGATAAATTTAGAAAATTTTAACTGAAAAGCTGAGATTCAATTACAAAAATTTTAAGGGAGACAAAGCTTAAGTTTACCATTTTATTGACTGAAAACATTTCAATTTCGGGATCAAAAGTAACTTTTACCAAATTAGGTGGGCCAAAAGAAAATATTACCATGCTGTTATCTAATGGTTTTAAAACTTTGGGGGCTAAAATAATAATTTTACCAAGGCAAGTTAAAGAAACTCGAGTTGTTAAAATATAAAAAATGGAAGCAATATAAATATTAGTGTGTTTTTAACAGTTTTAAAAGGCTTAAACCAAAGCTTTCGGAGTTGTGTTTGTTAGGTATGACTCATAAATATATCGAGAAAGTCTCGTAGTGGGATTATGATTATGTGGGTTGGGCTGCGGGGCTGCGACCCCGCGATATGGTACATGGTTATTTTTGTAAATATATACCCGGATATATTTATTATAAAAAGAGATGTAACATAAACCTATGAGACATTGAATTGAATAAAAATTCTAGCGCCGCCTAAGGCACCGAGGACGTAAGCACATTGTTGAACCTCGTTAAAATTCTTGTGTTCTTTCTGTTTTATTTACTCGATTATTCAACAATTGATATCAGATGTCAGGAGTCAAATTCAAAGTTGCGAAATTCGATGGTCGGGGGTAACTTCGATTATGACAAACAAGGGAGAAGGATCTGTTGGCGCAGTAAGGGATCCTGAAGGCTTTGCGACCTACAAAGCCAGTGTCGATGGAGGAGGAAGATTAGGAAGAATTGCAGCAGTGAGCGATAGGAACCATACGATTATGTTTAGCGAAAAGTCATGTATCACGTCATGCATTGTCGTCTCCAGATGAAATTTGGAAGAAATTGGAAAGTCATTTTATATCTAAATCATTAACGACTAAACTGTATCTAAAACATCGATTTATGGACTAAAGATGCAGATGATCATGATTTGGTGCAACATGTGAATGTATTCAATCAAATCGTTTTGATTTGACTCGGCTTGATGTGAAAATTGATGATGAAGACAAAACGATGATTTGTTGTGTTCGTTGTCTTCTCTTACGAAATTTGATTTGGACCGACTACCACCTCTTTATATCCTAATCATTCAGCACGTGTACATTCATCGACGGTCCAACAAATTGCTTGATAAAATCATTAAAATTTAGTATAAAAAATATTAAAGATTCTTATGGGCTAGAGACCTCCATGAAAGTGACTAAACAATGTCTGAATTGAAAACTCGTTGTTTTAATGAACAAAAAGCCTGGCACAAGACTCAGATATATGAATCTCGTGCACTTAGCTTCTCCTTCAATTATCACTTACCCACCAGTTTTTAATCTTGCTTCTTTCTTCTGGGTTTGTGTTCTGTCTATTTAATCTATTCTTCTTTCGATTACTTGATTGATTACAGCTTTATTTCTCTCTCTTCTTCTTGTTGGGTATGTTTCATTTGTTGAATTATGCTTGATTATTGAACCTTGTTGCGTGCACTGTTTATTTCTCTCTTCTTCTTCTTCTATCTCTATGTTGACCTTTTGTGGTTCTTGTTCTTCAAGTATGTGTCTTTCTTCTCTTTCGTTCACGTCTTGTTATGGAAATATGTTGTTCTAGTCAGATTAGAGTTCGGAATTTACATTGTGGTGCCTGTTTTTTGTGATCTCATGACGGTGGGTGTCTGGGGATGCGTCTGAAATTCACTTGAAATTAGTCTTTTAGATTTTGATTGAAGGCAATGAAATCAACTTAAGATTTGCTATTTTGATCACTTATGAACTTTTGTGTAGGTTCTTACAACATGACAAGAATATGGATAACCTGTAATTTGTCTAGTGATAACATTGTAGTATTTCAAATGCGGTTAGTTTTTGTTTTGACTAGTAGTTCATCTCATAGTTGTTGTTACAGCTAAATGTACGTTGAAGAGAAGATTAATGGCAGCAGCTGAAGCAAGGGCAGTCTGGCAAAGAACAGCTAATCGTTTCTTTGTCCAAGAAGATGCCAAAAGAGCTCCCAAATTAGCTTGCTGCCAATCGTCATCTTCCTCTAAACAGGCTGATTCTATCCCCATTGGAGTAGCAGGCGCGCACGATCAGCCTGCCGTTGGTTTTATGCCGCTCAACAGTATTGCTTACTATCCCAATCCACCCTCTGATATGAGTTGGTGGCTTCAGCTACAGCCTAGCTACGAACCCCAAAAGGGTTCAACAAACGAGCTGTTAAATGCCTTAGATGATAGAGTGGAAAGCTTGAAATCTGAAGCGAACTCTTCCTCTGATGTAAGTAGAGTTCACCCGGAAGACGCACCAGGTGCTTCTGGTGCTGGCAGAAAAAGGAACTATGAATATTCTCTTGATTCAGCAGAGAGAATGAAAAATTGTGAATTATTGGAGATGGAATCCATAGAATGTGATGTTTCCAAGAAAACCAATGAATTGTCTTATGATCTGGTGTCTCCCTGGGTCGGAAGTGGGAAGGTCGAGCCATGGTGGCGTGTGACAGATAAAGATGAGCTAGCCTCCCTGGTTGCAAAAAAGTCGCTGGACTTCATTGAGAACTGTGATCTCCCTCCACCTCAGAAGATGCATATAAGGAGGTACTATTGTGAATGTTCTGGTTTCGACGGTGATGAAGTATCTTCTTCGGCTTGGAAGTCCCAAACAGACCCTGTCTCCTGTCCAATCGTTAATGCAGATGCGCAATGTGCTTCCAACTCTTCATTCTGGTATTGTTTTATAATGTGCTTCCAAAATGACTTCTTAGATGAACATTATTTTGTCTCTAATCAACCAATACTTTAAGATTGAAAAAAATTAATTAACCTATCTCAGCTTATTTGACTGCATTGTTATAGTACAACCGAGAAGGATTTCGTGGATCAAGTTACAGAGTCTGATCCTACTATGGCTCAGCTACTCAATGCGCTTCATCACTCACAAACACGTGCAAGGGAAGCTGAGAAAGCAGCGAAGCAAGCCTACGCAGAGAAGGAGCATGTCATCAAGCTTATCTTCAAACAAGCCTCACAAATCTATTCCTATAAACAGTGGTTCAAAATGCTGCATCTAGATGTTTATCTTCAGATCAAGAACAACGAGGAGCCAGTCTTCACTTCCAACAACAATTGCAATTCACGGAAGAGCTTGGAGAAGACTGGAAAAGGTAGACGAGGAAAGCAGAGCCAGCCTAGACCGAGCATAACAACATGTGCCGTTGCTTTTGCATTGGGACTAAGTATTGTTAGTGCTGGTTTGCTGTTGGGATGGACTGTGGGGCCGATGCTACCTTTCTAGATAATTGTAGTGGAAACTAATCCCCTTGCTGCCATGAAAATTGCTTTGCCACATTTTGCATTTTGTACGCCATGTTTATTGAATGCTAGTAATTTTCAACTTCTTTATTGTAGGTGTTGTATTGTTTGTAGGCAGTGTACTTTTGGGGGGGGGGGTACGTACAATTTACATGATGTCCCTGAGCTGTTTGTTGTACATATCTCGTGCGAAACTGTCCTGATAATTCTCTATGATAAATTTATAGATGTACGGCCAATGTCTGAGTTCGAGTCTTATGAATGGAGAAAATCTGCATGTCTTAATGATATTACCACTATCGTATGCAGACCAACCTAGTCCGGAACCTTTCATATTGAAATATTTTTACATGAAGAAGATTGTAGCTGCAGCCATAGCCGTAGCCATGTCCATATATGCGTCCAAATATAAAAGTTATATATTACATTTGATCAGTCATTTTCATTCACAAGGAAATATATCAATCGGCTTAAATGGATAAGAATTTGGAATACTGCTGCGGCCTTAGGGTATAGGGTGTCTTGATTAAAAGTCAGCCCACATATGCCTGCCTATCCTTCTTGTCCCTTCTGCTCCATGGAACCGCTTGCTTTAAGCCTTCATAGATGCTTGCCTGTCGTGTTTCAGACAACAAATCAAACAACTTTCTGGGATGTATTAGTACAATGATTATAGCAAAAACAATAAAATGGTTTGATTTGTCAAATTAGAGAGATTAAATGTCGACTTTCGAAAGGAACAAGAGAAACCCTGAAATGGAATTTGGAATGATAGAGACTATTCAAGCCGCCCATCTTCTTCATCCTCGTGATACTAACGCTGCTGCTACTGTACTCTTCTCCTTTATCTACATACGATGGGAACACATAACTCTTCCCTCCGATATCGCTTCTCCTCCGAGAACCAAGAAACCAAGAGTTTTCCCTGTTCCCTCTCTCGCTAACAACCATAGCACCATCACCACCCTCCGGCACCATGTTCTCACGGCAAAAGCTACCAGCACGAAATGATCCATAACGCTCACTTTTTACCATTCTAAAAGAAGACTGGAACCTAGCCCTGCCCAAGTAAGGACCATCCAAGAGTGTGTGGGCGAGCAAAGTTTATCGTTCTTCTTCTTATTGGCTTCCTGCAATAGAAGCAACCTGGGAGGCAGTTCCAGGCACTTCCGAGAAAAGTCATCGGAAAAATCGGCGACCGTGGCTTAAGCATTGGGTTTTCCTGGTTCCTCTTCCCAACGGAATGGGACCGAGGCCGAGGCGCGTAACGGTGGGGTTAACGTCCCTGGTCTTTCCGGTGACACCATGTGTGCATGTGAAGATGAAAACAAAGGTAACTCGATGCTCTGCTTCAAATCCCATGGTTTGGTTACTTTCGAAAAGTGGTAACTAATGTTTATTGCTATATAAGGGAAGGAGCAGGGAAAGTGTTATTTTTTTAACGTATCTAAGGGGAGGGGGAGGGGAGGAGAAGAATGAGAAAAACTCGTTAGCAAAAGGGAAAATTTTCTATTAGCCTCTATACTATATATAGTTTATGAATTTAGTTATTTTACTCTAATTTATAATGGGTAAGTACACAAATGGTCCTATGACTATAAGATACTACTTGGTCGAGTCTCTTGACTATTAAAAGTTACAAAATGATCCCTCACTATAGAATGTTGTTTTATTTAGTCCATCGACTATTAAAAGTTACGAACTGATTACAAGACTATTCATTATATTCCAAACTCATTCTTTTCTATTAAAAAAATGACCACAATCTATATTGGACATAGGGATGGTCAAAATGCCCGAACTCAACTGGGCCCAACCCAATTCAACCATATAGGGGCATTTTTTTAAACTTCTGTGCTTAGGGCGGGGCGAGGCGAGGCGGGATGGGTTATATAGCATATAAATTCGGGGTATGGCGAGGCTGGGCTCAAGTGAAAAATAGCTCAACCCAACCCAATTAATTTTTACTTTTAAATATATATTAAGAATTTTATTTTATATTATATATATATAATTATTAAACATATAAAAAATTAATTTAATGTTTAAAATATCATAAATAATTACAACTTGTTGAGTTAATCGATTGACTGAATCGGCCAAGAGGGGGGTGAATTGGCAATAAAAATTTTGGTGGAAGCTTTTGAAAATTGAAAGAAATTGCACAGCGATTTAGAGTGGTTCGACTTTATCAACCAAAGTCTACGTCCACTACCTTAGCTATCCACACTAAGGATTTTTCAACAAATTCACTAATTTGTTCTTTCTTTTGAGGCCAAAGAGATAACCTTACAACTCCCTCAAGAATATACCCAATTCTTGAGAACACTCTTTTCTCAAAGAGAAATACAAATTTGCAAACTTACAAGAAAAACCTCATAAGGAAAATATGTTTGCACAATTCTAGAACAAAGAAAGAACACTCAAGAATAAATACAATTGAGCACAATAAGTGTTCTTGAAAGCAAAATGAATATTGAATGAAAAATAGGCTTGAAATGCTCAAACTTGAGGTTTGATATTTTCTCTTTGATTCTCTCTTGATTCTAATTGCTTGATGTTTCTTGTTATTGATCAATGGCTTCTAAGCTTGCTTAAATACACCTTGAATCACTTCTAAACGTTGGGGATGATTAGAGAAAATAATATAGCCGTTTTAGTGTGAAAACAATTAATAAAACAGTTTGGAGCGTGGGGGGAATCGATACCCCCTATGGGGAATCGGTTCCCTAAGTGTAAAATTCAAATATTTCGACTGTTATACAAGGGGGAATCGGTACCCCCTGGGGGGAATCGGTTCCCTCCGAGCATACTGGAATTCTCGGAGCCAAACCATTCAGGGGGGAATCGGTACCCCCTTGGGGGAATCGGTTCCCTCTGAGCAATCTGGAATTTTTGGCTTTGAAATGATTCGAAATACTTTGTAAAATTATTTTGAAATTATTTTAAGATTAAAACTTAATTTTACACTTGAGCAAGGATTAAAAATGATCTTTAAAAGATTTGGAGTAATGTTTTGATATTCGAATAGTTATATCGAATATACTTAGAAAATCATTTGGAAAATCTTAAAATTCATTTAACTTAATTTGTTATATCGAAATATCAAAATGTTTTCAACAATCTCCCCCTTTTTGATATAACAAAACATTTTAGTAATTTTAAGATTTTGAGATTTTGAAATCAAGTTTTGAAATTACTCCCCCTTACTTTAACACTAACACTTCTCCCATTTATCTTTTAAAAAACATTTAACACTTCTCCCCCTTTTTGTTACATCAAAAATACATTTTAAAGAATTAAACAAGGTTTTGAAATCATTTAGCCAATTGATTATATTTTAAGCTACTAAGATCAGAAGCAAGAGAAACGTTAGCCATTAGTTTCATAATCAATATTCATAGTTAATGTGAAATGGCAAAATTGGTCATATATCTAATCATGAAGTAAATGATGCAATAATGAATAAATTTAATCACACCAAATAGATAATTTCTAACCATTCATAAATCCAAACAAATTCAAAGTCAATCAATCCACAAATTCAAACATTCCAAAATATTCAAAATGTTAAAACAATAAGTTTGGAGTTCAAAGCAAAACATAGAATCACATATCAGGATCAGGAGGAGGAAAACAAGCTCGCATAGCGGCCATTTCGTGAGTGAGGTCATTAATACACGCGTTGGTTGCTTCGTTGTTTGCACGCATCTCCCGAAGAATTTCTAATTGTTGAGCTCCCATTGTGGATAAGTGTGACTCTATAGAAGTAAAGTGTGAATCCATGGTAGCATATCGGAAATCGAATGTCTCCATAAAGGATTGAAAATATGGAGGCATTTGATGCGTTTGTTGTGCTTGCTCCTCGGGCTGCTCAGGCTCATCTTCGGCTTCATCGATGTCTCGCATTAATTGCTCAAGCTCGAGATCTTCGTCAGCTTCGGGTGGAGCTTGTGAAGAACTAGCTCCCGGAGTATTTGCAGAAGATCGAACCCATTCACCGGTTTCCTTATCCTTAATCCATCCCGCTATCGTTAAGAAAATAAGGTTAATTTGTTTCTTAAGGGGAAAAATGACATCTAGACCGACTCTAAGCCCAGCTTTGGAAAACAGATTACTCAAAATGCAACCGTAAACTAGGGATGAACATAGTTTCTTGTTAGGAACAAGATTTACGGTTTCAACAATTTAAACAAAAATAATCTGAGGTAGGTTAATTTTAATATTGTTTTTGAAACAATGTAACCACCAAAGATCTAAGGCTCTAAGAGTAGAATAACGACCTCCGGATGGTCGAAACCACCAAGAAATCATTAGATGAAGAAAACGTTCATGAAGGTCTAAGACACTTGCACTATCCCTTCTTTTATAACGAGATCCTAAAACCTGTTTTTCATTTGAAATTCCATCATTATCTAATCTGAATGTATTGGCTATGTAAGCCGAGTCAATATATAAGAATTTTCCTATGAGGTAGGAACGAATTCCTATGGTTTCGGTTTCAGTTTGGTTTTTAACACAAACGACATTAGAATAGAAAATACGAACAAGTTGATGGTAAACGATGGGTTCAAGGTCAAAGAGTTTATCAAATTTCACTATTGTAAAAGAGGAAGATATTTAAAATTAATAGCTAACATAGCTTGACGAGAAGGAATACGTTCTTCCCGGATTTTGTAATAGTCAAAATATTGATAATACCAAAAACGATGATTTCTAGGACCAGGATGATTGAAACACGAATTTTGGATAGTCAAGTTAGGATCAATGGGATTAGGATTAGAAATTGGAATAGGATGAGGATTTGGAGGTGGATTTGGTTGGCGGTGTGAGTGACTAGATGATGACCTAGCACGTTTAGGATTGGACATGGTTTAGGAAATCGGAATAGAATTGATAACCTACAATCTAGAAAACACATGTATGCAATTCAATTAATCCCAAAACTCAATTGAGCCCTCAATATTTCAAGGTTCTCTAAATCAATCCTAATGGGCAAAGTTTTTGAAAAACTTTTGAAAAATATGGTTTTGAGAAACAATATATGTATAGTTTTCATAACAACAACATAATTTAATCAAAACACAATAATTTGAAAATTAACATTTTTTTTAATTTCAAAAATTTAATTTTTTTTGGAAAATTCTTGTGTTTTTGATGA